TCGTAGCTTTCTATCATTTTTCTAATGATATAAAATTCGATTTTTTTTATGTGAAATTCACAATGTGAATCTTTGAAAATTCACAACGTGAATCCGGATTCACACGGTGAATACGAAAAATATGTTTCACATTCATAATGTTAATATATGTATTTAGATATTTTTGAATTTTTTTTCGATAAAGAATAAATTATAGAAATTGATAAAAAGATTTGGTTCCTTGAAGAACCAATAATTATAGTTTTCTATTGAACTTTTCCATATATATATATATATATATATATATATATATATATATATATATATATATATATATATATATATATATATATATATATATATATATATATATATATATATATATATAGGGGATGGTTCCCTTGAGATTAATAAAAAATTAGAGATTGTGAGATTAAATATCAGCCAATGGAACTTAATGTCAACTGTTAAATGATTAAGAGGTATAATAGTAAACTTCAAATTAATGTTGAGAAAGCGGACAACTTCCTTCTCTAAAAATCATCATATCGCTAAATCATCGATTTTCAGTAATAGTCACGTAATCATATAATCCAATCTTCAACAACTAATTCAATATAATAAAAAAGAACCTATTTTTACTAAATTTGTTATCAAATTATTTGCAATCTTCAAATCGAAAAAAACGATCGAAATAGAGCATCGGTTCATATCCTCATAAATACGAGATACAAACCTCAAATCGAAGAAACAAGCACCTCGCAATCGTAAACAAAGCATTTGAAAATCGAATCAAAATCAACTTTCATAAATAATGTTGCATCCAAAAGAAATTGACAAGTCGATCGCAACTGATAATATTATAGCTTAAATCAATTCATCTCCTAACGACGAATAAATCGATCCAATTTCTTTCACTTCTGAAGAACTTCGAACTACGATTCGTATTGAAGGTACAACTAATTCGTTTTAATACTACATATTACATGACATGATTAAACAATATCTAGTATGATTATTTATAAATTGATACGTATAATCATTTATGATTACACAATATATTATATGATCAATCATATAATACAATGTACAAATAAATATGATTTAACATCTAACAATATATTAATATCTAAAATCATATATGATTTTTTATACGAAAATATAAATACATATCGTTAATCACATATGATTATTACAACATAAAATTATATAATAACATATTTGTCATTCCCTTCTTTTATTAGGTGAAAGTTCCAATTCAACAAATGAATCATATTGCAGTAACATAATTGAAGAATCTGAATATAACTTAGATGTCCCTACATAATTTGTACCACTTGTAAACAGTGTTTTCAAATCACTAAATTTGGCAATAAAAATGTATACTGATTATGCAGAAATGGCAGGTTTTCATACAAGACTGAGTAGCCAATCAAAATACAATAGCCAAATAATAAAAGAAAAATATGTTATATGCAATAGGGGTGGCAAGGATAAACCAAAACCTTGTGATACGTTGGCTACAAGTTCTGTCAAGAGGATACCAAATTCAAAAAAGCTAATTACTTGGTGTACAACAAAGATTATATTTGAAAATGTTTATGGAACAACAGATTAGAAAGTTAAGAAATTCTTTGAAATGCACAACCACCCACTGGAATGTATTGAGGAAAGACCTTATACGAAAAAGGAAAGAAAGATGTCATATTCTGAAAAAGAGTTTGTAGTACGTGCATCAAAAGCTAAAATTTGTCCGACAATGGATCACAAAATACGAGCAGTTTTGAAAGGAGGATATGAATATGTAGGAACGAAGGTAATAGACTACAAAAACTTGAGGAGAGGAGTAAATAGAATCTTATGTTACAAGGATGCTCAAATAATGATAAACAAAATGAATGATCGTAGAGATCATTACCCAAATTATTCATTTGAGTTCCTACGTGATGGAGATCTGTTGGTTGCTATGTTTTGGGCAGATGAAAGAGAAAAGGCTTTTTATGCAGAGTTTGGAGAAGTTATATCTTTTGATGCCACTTTTAGAACAAATAAGTAAGTTAATGTATATAAATTCAAACATACTATTAATCAAATATGATTGTACTAAAACATTTTCTTTATATAGGTTTAAAATGGTATTTGTTCCATTCACCGCAGTTGACCACCACAAGAAATCAGTTACTGTTGCTGTTAGGTTGCTGAGTAGAGAGACAATTGAGTCGTATGAATGGCTGCTTAAAGCTTTTCTTAGAGCTCATGAAGGGAAAGCACCAAAAATTGTTCTTACTGATCAAGATGTAGCAATAAAACAAGCAGTAAAATCTATCTTACCAAATTCATGACACATACTATGCATGTGGCACATAATGAAAAAACTACAAGCAAAGGTATAATAAAAATACATTATATAATTATATATGATTATATAGTATTATGACAGATGATTTATATATGACTTATCAGATATCATACTATATAACCATATATAATTAATCATATATGATTAACTATTCTAATAATATGAATTATCAAACACCATACTGCATGAACATATATGATTACATAGTATGTAATATGATAATACAGTATATAATCTTATATGATTATATAATCATATTATTAAAGTACTTAATTATATATGATTGATATAATGATATATAATTAAGTATGTTAATAATATGATTATATAATCATATATGATTATATATGATTATAATAATATAAGTTATCATATATCATACTATGATTATGATGATACAATATAATCATATATGATTAATCATATATGATTAATGATATATGATTAATCATATATGATTACAGTACGTATATGATATATGATTAATCATGCATGATATATCCTACATTACAGTAATCATATATGATTACAGTACATATATGATATATGATTAATCATATATGATTAAATAATCATATATGATTACAATACATATATGATATATGATGAATCATAAATGATATATCCTAAATTACATTAATCATATATGATTAAACATATATGATTAATCATATATGATTAAATAATCATATATGATTACAATACATATATGATATATGATGAATCATATATGATATATCCTAAATTACATTAATCATATATAATTGCAGTACATATATGATAAATGATTAACCATATATGATATATCAAAATAGGTATATAATTTATACTTATATAAGTAACATTGTTCTTTCACAAATTATTGGCGATTTATTTAAAAACAAAGACTTCAAGAAAAGATTTAACAAGCTTGTCTGGAACATGCATATCAAACCTGATGAATTTGAAAAGAAGTGGGATTTGATTATTAATGAATTCAATCTGGAAGATAAAAGATGGTTCAATGATATGTTTGAATTACGTGACAAATGGATACCTACATACTTCAGTGACACAAGAATGTCTGGATTGATGAAAACCACTTCTAGATCAGAAAGCATGAATTCCTTCTTCAACACTTACTCTCAATCTGGAAATTTACTTTTACATTTCATGATGAACTATGACATAGCAATTCAAAAACAGAGAAATACACAACAAGAGCTTGATCATCAAACAAAGAAGGCGGTATATAAATTTATTTCACCACGACCAATAGAAAAACATGCTGCAAAAGTTTATACAAGTACATTGTTTTATGAAGTACATAAAGAAATCTACAAAGGTTCCTGGTACTGCCAATACAAATATCTTGCAACAAAAAATGAATGGGAGTTATACAAAGTGGAATAACTGAACAAAAACAGTGATCTAAAAACAGAGTTTGAGGTAATATATTCTTATTTTAATTTTTGTTGAATCAGCACATAATATAAAAAAAATATTCATTTATGATTATAAAACACTTAATGCTTTAATTTTATTTTGAACAGGTAGAAATAAAACTTCCAAAAAATGATGTAAAATGTACATGTGAACACTTCAACCGCTTTGGGACTTTGTGCAGACATGCATTCAACATACTCATGAAACATGGAATTAAGGAGATACTTGAATAGTACATTGAGAATCGTTGGAGAAAGGATGTGATATCAAGGCATTATAATTTTGGTAGACATGTATATGATACAGGAGACAGTGAAATTAACAGATCTGTCAATCAAGCATAGTACAACTTGGAAGCATGTTTGGAATACGTAAGAAAAAATAAAGAAAAAATGGATTTGTTTGTTAAGAAAACAGAAAGCATGCTGAAGGAATATGAAAACGATCCTACAAATGAATTGCAGAAAAATAGGACAAATGTTGAAGATGTAGGAAAGCTTATGGGCATAACTATTCCAAAAGACATTGACATCAATGTTCCAAATGTCAAAGCAATAAAGGATGCGAAAAGAAAAGTAGAATTCAAAGTGCAGCAGATATAGCCTATAAAAATTCAAACAAGCAAACAAGAAGATGCTCAGGATGTGGAGAAAGGGCTCCTCATAACTTGCGGACATGCCTAATCAAACTTGCAGCAGAACAATCATCAAAAGCTACATAGATATTTACTACTTTAATCAATAATGAATAAGTCATAATTTTTTTTCAAAATAATATACTTTTTGTTTAGTACACTTTACTCTTTTTATAAAACAGAATTTACTATGATTTTATCTTCTGGATTTAGTCTACTTTGATAATTCTTTCTTTGATTTGATAATATATTCATTCATGATTAAACTTTTATTAAATGTTACTACAAGCATTTAAGATTACATATAACTATTATTCAATACATGTAATCATTACACATAACCATATACAATATTCATCTGTAAAATCATAAAATATTATGTAGTACTACGTCATATGTTTTGTTTAATCATAAGTGATTAAAAATATGATTACACATAAAAAACATCTAACCATTACATATAACCATATACAACAACATTGTTCCTAACAAATATACAACACTGCTAATAAAAAAATCTAAAGATAACAATATTGATCATCATAGAATAACATCAAACATGATAAAATATTTAATAACAAAAAATTTCACAAGTCTCAAATATCAAGTTCCCAATTTTCCAAGATTCTTATTCTTCATATTCCTAGCTAGATTTTCATACAGATTGTAGTTGACTCCAAGAAGTATTCCACCATTACTTAGAAAGATTATCTCCATTGAACCTAACAAATCTTTACTACATATCCGATGTAGAGAAATGTTGTTCATTAAAAAGAAATACTCTTTAAATGAACAACATTCCTCTACTTCAAAGACATCTAGTAAAGATCTGATATGTTCAATGAAGACAAACTTTTTAAGTAATGGTGGAAGAGGCGTTCTTGGAGTCAGCTACAATCCGTATGAAAATCTAGCTACAAATAAAAGAACAAGAATCTTGAAAAAATGGGGAACATGTTATTAGATACAGTAAAATTAGTTCTTTTAGACTTATAGACTCCATATTTTACCTGAAACAAAATGGAAGTTGTTTAGATCATAAATAGATAATGGCGATATATAAAAATTGAAGAAATTAATAAACAAAACTAATTATAAGGACTCATCTTTGAAGAAATATAAGGCATAGCATGAGGCTACCAACTTTAGTTTTCATTTATAAAGAAAATATTCTTCAATACAACCACTAAAAAACAAAAATAAAATCTTACAAAGATAAGATTCTGCATGGTGATGTATTCCATGCAGTAAAGATAAGTTCACTTATCAAGAAAAAGATATAATAAATTATAATGTGTTGTACAACAAATATAATCATTTATGATTACAAAAAAATAAAAAAAATAATCGATACAATCGATAATGATTACATATAAGCAACATATAATCAATAGTAAAAACATAAATTACATATAAAAATATAACATAATCACTTATGATTAACATTCAATAACATAATTCACACAAACAAACTTAGATAATAAAATCTACCAAAATACATATTAACTTGTTTTCCATCATCATAAAGACAAACATTCTTCACAATATCCATAACATACACAACATAAACAACCTTGTTCTTATAACATCATCAATAAGAAAATATTCAATCAAAAAAAATTTGACAACCTTCTTTCTATATTCCATTTAGCATCATATGCATGCGTACCACGAATCTTTTGATCAACTTTTTGATACTCATATGCAGCTTTCAACACATCATCACACTTTGTATTAATCTCAGAAGTTAAGATTGCTGCTGCATATTTCATTCTCAACTTTTCCATAATTTTTTCTTGAGAACCACCTTCTTTTGGAAGACCACATTTCCATTTGGAACATTTTTCTCCAAAATAACTCTCCATATGTCTCATAGCAAAAACTCCACAATCCACTTTGTTATAAATTGTCCTCCATAGCATTGTCAATCTTACTAGAGCAATACTTTTATCAGCCATTTCATTTGCTTTAACATGATCGATCTCTTTTAGATACTTCAAAAAATACTTTTTCTGAAAATCATATATGATTTCAAGTCAGAAAAATATAAGTATAATAATTATAAAATATATCATATATGATTTCAAATTTAAAGAATAAATATCGTTTGAAACTTACAAGAGGTTTAAAAACTGCACCATACTTATCATCGAAATCAGCATCATCTGCACCATTATCAATAACCTCAAAAGCACGTTTCTTAAGATTCATAACAATAAGATATATGTGCTCATGCCTCAAAACCGGGAAAAATACCTAACATCAACATTTCTAATATTAGAAATATATATATATATATATATATATATATATATATATATATATATATGTATGTATGTATGTATAAAAAAACAAATATACCATATCAACATCCTTCAAAACCTTCAAGTCTCTATCACCACAAACACTGCGAGAAAAACTCTCCTAGAAAACTTTATATTTTCCAATTTCATTCAAATGAGTATATTCAAATAACAAAGTCTGTAATATAAGAAAATCATAAATGATTATATAATAACATGTAAATATTTAATAAAAAAATTATTAATAATAAAATAAAAACTTACAGTGTCAGATTTCATGAACAATCTGAGTGGAGAATTAACAACATATCTGAATTTCTCTTCATGATTTAGTATACGAGACCATGAGTCAAGAACACTAACATGCAAATGGGTTTTTTTATAAAGACTTTCATAATTAGCTCTAAACCCAATAACATATGTTTCCATAAGCAATACAATATCCCTGTATATATTTATTTAAATGTTATTTAAAAGAAAAAAATATAATTATAAAAATAAAAATTATATTAAAAAAAATTACCCTAGATTTCCTTGAAGACTGAAAAGCCATTCACAAACAACATTTTCTACTTGCGTCAAACAAGGTTTAAAATCAATCAACCTTTCCTTAAATGGTGACTTATAAACATAAGAAAACTTCAATTATCTCTTTCCTTTGACATCCACTACTGAGGTTGCTTCTTCATTTATATCTTTATGTTTGCCATAAACAGGTTTTGATGGTCCTTCTAATGTAACCAAAGGGGGTGCAAAAGAAACTGGACTAGCATCAATAACATCAGCATTTAGAATAACACACTCTGGACCAGCACTTGGGTTTCCCAAAATAACTCTATCCTTAATCTTTTTCATTATCATCCGTTTAGAAGAAATTTGACTTTGAGATGACTTCTTGGAACCTTCAAAATCTTGACTAAATCTAAGACTAAAACTTGGAACAAGATCATTTTTCAATGATCGAGTCTCATTTGAATCATTGTTTTTATTTGCACAATCTTCAACATTTTCTACCCAATAAAATTATAAAAATCATATATGAATAAACAATAATTATAAACACAAATATATATAAATAAGCAATAATTATAAACAAATTTCCTCCATCTTTATTTTTATTTGAACAATCTTCAACATATTCACATTCTCCATCCTTCTTTGCTACAATAATTTTATCAATAGTACAATCTGAAATTACTTTATTCTTATGATCATCCTCACCCAAATTTATAGTCCCTAAATTATTAAAATCATAAATGAATCATCTATATAACATATTTATATATATTTTATGTATTAAAAATACATAAATAAACACTTAACGTCATCAATACCAGTCAAATTCAAATTCACATCATCTTCTACTAGTTTATGATTTAAACAACCATCAGTACCTTTAAAATTCAAATATAAAAAATTAAAATCATATATGATTAAACAATATATAATAATAACATATGACTACCTTGATCCAAAGTTTTAAGAAAACTTTGAACAACTGGATCGCAAATAAATTGACTAAAAGATACACCTTCCTGGCTATCAATTAGACCCACAATCTTAGTAACATTTTCGACAACAGAATTTAAATTCATGTCCTCTTCCTTAATACATCCACTTCCACTTCCTTGTTCATCATCTTCATCATAATCACTTTTACCTTCAACGTGATTTTTACCAATATTGCCCTCATGTGGACCACTTCCATCCCCCCGACCACCAGAACATTTCCCTTGATCATAATCTTCAACATTTTTATCATCATTAAGAAAATCATTCCCATAATCTTCATCATTAACTTGAACAAAACCATGTATTAATATCGGTTCTTTATATTTTTGTGAAACATAACGGAAATCAAAACTTTCAGAGCTTAAATCTTCAAAAGGAATTAACAATTTCCAATTTTTCAAATTTTGACTTTGAGGAAACATCAACACTCCCTCATCTATCTTTACAACAAGATCCATTTTCAAATACTCCATTTTCTGATACATACATGAAATTTTACTTTCATACACCTACATAAGAAAAAAGATACTTACAACTAAAATACTTAAACATAAAAAGTCATAAATGAATAAACTAATTAAATCATAAATGACTAAAACTATAGAATTACCTCCACATCACTAACTTTATTAACATCAAAATCTTCTTCATCCTCATCACATAAATCCTTTTCACCATCAGATTCAACCTCATCACCACCAGATTCCTCCTCATCATACTCAGATCTTTGAAATTCTTTTTCAACATATACTTCATTAACATGTCCACATCCAAATCCTCCACTCTCTTGTAAAATATCCTCAAGAAACCTTATCTTCTCTGACGTCCAATAAAAAATAGTTGGAGGTTTACGTGTGACTTGCAAATGATCAAACTTGAAAGTATCCACATACAACAACTACAAAAAACATATATAAAATCATAACGTATATAACATCATATATGATTTTGATGTGTAATATATAAGTAAACAAAAATTATACTACATAATAATATATGATTATATGTAGTAAAATCATATATGATTTATTATAAAAACAAACACATTTTTACAACTAACAAGAATAATAAATATCAAAAAATAACTCACGTACCATAAGGTATGCTACTGGTCCATAAAAGAAAGAAGACTCTTTCTCTGGATTGTAAACCTTCTTTGTCCTTACCAAACAATCCACAATGTAATCGCACCAGTCAATGCTACTTAAATAAGTATCTCTTCTGATTAAATACAATGTATTCAAATTACATTTGTGACAACCCGAATATTTCATATACATAATTTCTAGAGTCAAACGCCTCATTTGAAAGTCAAATTCATTTCCGCCATCTTTTAGCAAATTTAAAATCCGTTTTAGTATTCTGAGCTTTTCCCACTTAACGATCAAGTCTTAGAAAGTAACCACTAAAGCCGTAACACCAAAAATCATGTTACAAACCTCACAAGATAGAGTTCTCGGGCGGTAAACTTGGGCGGTAAACTCGGTCCGGTAAACTCCAGGGCAGTAAACTCACTCTATATAAGGGTTGAGTACACCTCATTTACACGCTTTCCACTCTCTCTACCCACTCTCTCTTCAAGGCCCGAATTCTTCCAAAAATCTTCATGTTTTTGTCCCCAAACTGTAAGTAATTCTACCCTAGAGTGTATTAAAGCTTATTACATGTCCATATCTCATTGAAATCACCCAAAAATGACATGAACAAGGTGTTTACGGCCCAAGAACCTTCTTAAGCCGTAAACCCTTAAAAAGGGTGCCAAAATGCCCCTAACGCCTTCCTTGTGCTTAGAGACTAGCTTAGTACATACCCTTGAAGTGTTATGGACCTTAAACATTAGGTTTTGGAGGGTTGAATGAGGGTTTACGACCCAAGAACCTTCTTAGGTCGTAAACTCCCTCAAATGGTGCAAAAAGTGCCCTAATCACCTCACCTAGCCTTGGATATTAACCTAGAATTATATCTCAATGAATTAGGGACTTGAATCAACGATTTGGCACTTCATGCCATGAGTTTACGACCGTAAACTCATGGGGAAGTGGTCCCCAGGCCATAAACTCCACACAAGACCATTATTGGACCTTAAACTCACCCAATCTCTTGTTTAGGCCTTGGAGCACTTAAGCACTTAAGTTATTGTAGTTTTAAGACCTGTTTGGAGAACCAGTTGGGAGTTTACGGCCAAGAGTAAACTCCCCTGGGACGTAAACTCCAACAAGCATGGTTATTTGACCATAAACTTTCGTATAAAGCCATACACTCCTTTATTGAAACCCAATAGCCTCCTAGCACTTGACCAAAGTGTTTTTTTTCCGCACATTAGGGTGCTTATACGTGTTTAATTAGTGTTATAATTACTAATTATATGTAAACATATGTCTTCATATGTTACTAGGTCATTAAGTGTGTTCAAGTCTTCACTTTACACCGAGCACTCAACCGACACTTCCATCCGATCCACTCGCAGTAGGTGAGTTCAAACCCCTGAGTTTACCTTTTAAATGATTTTAAATGCTTTTATGGGGGGGGGGGGAATACAAGTTGAAACATGCTAGTTATCATATCAATCATAGGTGATTAATAACCCGCATGCAAAAAGGATTTACTACACTTTCATCTGTTTTGCCAATTATATTACTTCAAATGGTTTTCCAAAACGTTGTTACTTGTTTAGAATTTTCTCAAATTATCCTTTGTGTTGTATGTTTTCCTTCAAAACCTGTTACAGCAGTGTTTTAAACAAAGGTTTTCTTCACTTCAACTGTTTTATCAAATCATTTTCAAAGCTTGTTTATGAAAGGTTTTTCAAGGGTTTTCCAAAGGTTTTCAAAGCTTGTTTTACAAAATGACATTAAGTCGTAAATTCTTATTTGTAAAGATTTTCCAAGGGTTTTTCCAAAGTTTTCTTCTATGATTTTATTTCGTTAAAATGCATGCCTATATTTGTATAGTTATATAAATAATGTTTAAAGGACTTAGAACGACTAGTTCGCCCTATTTCCTTTTCCTCGTTGGGATGTGGTCTGGTGGGTATCGGTTATCCGTTCGAAGGTCGTTTAAATATTAGTTATATATATATATATATATATATATATATATATATATATATATATATATCATGTATACATGTATAGACATAAAGGTTTCCATCAACCAACTCATTCCTTGAGTAGTACAGGCATCCTTCTATTATTCATGTTTTTAGAACCCAAGTAACTATTATAGGAATAGTTAGGAGATTCTCTCTCTCTCTCTCTCTCTCTCTATATATATATATATATATATATATATATATATATATATATAATATATATCTTTCTCTAGTACAACGTTTTACTCAGGAGTCAGTTCATTTGCGAGTCTATATTATTACTATAATACTTTAGAATGTGACACACTAACTCCCTCTACGACGCCTCATAGAACCATCGCCGTGTAACCAGAGTCTCCGGGAAGGAGAGCGAACATCATGTGTATAGATCTATACGGGACTGACACTCCTACACCTAGACTACTAGCTACAGTCCGCGCCAGTAAGGCCCATGGGTGACATAATGGCACTACCTATACGCGTGACCTGGAGGGTCATCGGATACTCTATCGTCGATCAGCATGGTTACATACGAGTTCACATTCAACCTTTGTTTTAGACTTTGCTAGCTGTATCGTTCATTCAATACTGTCTGGAGTCTGTGCTTCCTTGTGTTAGACTGAGCATTCATACGGTACTCTCCTGGAGTATGTGTTTTCATTTGCTTTAGTCAGCAGTATTACTGCTGAGGTATATATTATTTTCCCCTAGTATTCTTACTTGTGTTTTTCTCATAATTCTTTTAAAGTTAATACTGTATTTTGGTAATGATAGTATTTTGGGGAAAATTACTCCTTAAAACATAAATCTGTCGGGTCTTGGTAGAAGACTGTTTTTATTTAGAAAATATAGGATTTTCTGCAAAGAACGCTAATACACCGTAGATTCTAGATTACTATCTTTCATAAAGTTATTTTGAATAAAAATGTGTATTTATACAAATGACACTAAATACTTATGGACTCACCAGCATTATAAATATGCTGATACTCGCTTTCAAAATAACTGGTATTCTCAGTTCATTGATAGACAGGTACATGCTGAGATCTTTTGTGGAGACAGCCTAGTACCGAGCTGCATCTATGTTATGTTCTATATTTACTTTGATAATGCTTTGAAATGTAACCTATGTAAAATTATTACTGTTAATGCAATGGTTGTTGTACTTTGATTACTATACTGCATACGTTGTGATACTTGACATGGCGTCATCCACCCCAGAACGTTTCCGCCGTTCCGATTTTGGGGTGTGACAGATTGGTATCAGAGCATTGTTTATAGTGAGCTCAACATATCAATTCATAAAAGATATACAGTCTATAAATACATAGGTATAAAACACTCTGACCAAGTATTATACTTTAAAATATAACCATATTTTACCAAAGTATAAGAACATCTAGAATCTAAACACTCGAACAAAAGTATCACAAGAAGAACAAAATAAAAGTCTTTGGATGTTGACCATTAGCGTCAAACTTGGGCAGTGATTTAATTGTAAGCTGGAATAAATGTAACCTGATCAACTACATTTATTCGAGATGCGACCAATGTGTGCTTAGGAGTGATGGTGGTGTTGCAACAAATGTGGAACTTACCAAATAGGAATGGTAGAGCCAAACATAAAGTTTAAAATACTATGGGAGTATTTTGGAATACTAAAAGACTCACATTAATCCCAGAATCATATTTAGAAGTTAAGAGTCAATCAAGTAATTAAAATACCATAGGGGTATTTTAGGATCCATAGATAACCTTGTGTGAAAAACTAAAAAGATATTTATACCTATGATTACAGAGGGTATACTTCCAAGGTTATACATAATAAGGATCCCATAGACTAAGAATGTGTGGTTTCGCTCTACTTCCTTTTCCTCGTTGGGATGTGGATATAGAGTAGTATCACATATTTGAAGGCCTATCAGATCTAAGTTATATATGATTTGTGTATGCTATCTAATTGTAGAAGGACTCAATATGGATCACCTAGTGAAATGTTTTAATAATCTCTTAGGATTCTTTAGACATTTCCATTCTCACACGAACCCTATAGAAAACCTTATCCACTTCAACGTTCGATAGAAAAGTTGATTCAGACCCAGAAGAAGTTCATTGAGAAGATTTCGAGTTCGAATATAATGAACTAGGACGAGACTATTGAAACCACCAATTGCCTATACCTTTTAGGGACATTGGTGGGAAATTCGCCTGAACCTTCGAGATTTACAGTCATCCATCATGAAGTGATGACACTCAGAGTCAGAATCGGAAGTAAGACGGAGTAGAAATTCAATATGTCTACACGAGAAGAGAACCCTAGGTAATTACCCAAAGAAAACCAACGTCGGTTCCAGTCAAGGATAAGAGGTAGACAGAAGGGGCCAATGCATGGAACCCGAGAAGTGTCTTTTCCTCGTTATTGTCGCGCTAATGCACCCATAAAATAATACAATTTAGTGAGTTAGTGATTACACTACTCACACTATATGCTAGGCAAATCGCCTTTCCCCGTCGCAAGTAATCCGATTAGATCAGATGCCAAAACCTCGATTGAGAGTGTTTAACTGTGAGTCTTCATGAGCCTTTTCTCCCGTGATCTTCGTTCCAAACTATCCTCAAATCTTTCCAAAACCGAAGAGCGGATCTCTCTAATATAAAGATAAATTAGTAGGAACGACCCCCAATCTTATGGCTTTTCGATACTCTTACTTCTACCTTGAAACCCAGATTACATCATAGGGATGTAGGTCGACACTCAGATTACCAATATCCAAGACGCGGGAAAAATTATTGTCTATTATAGGAAAGATAGATACGTCCAGGGTTAACCACCTTCTCTCATCAGCTTGTGTTCCTTTTCATGTAGGAAAAACCATGCCTCCAAAGAAACGTAACCAATCTGCTGACAAGAAACCGACTCTCCTATTCGATGAAGCTACGTTCCAAGCTTTAGTCCACTACTAGAAAAACAGGCTTTTACGACGCTCATTGCGCGTCATAAAGGGCTCAGACGACGTGCAAATGGACGTCAAGGAAGGCCCTGTCATAAAGAGAGACGACGCGCATTTACGACGCTCATTTACGACACGCAATGCGTATCAAGAAAGGCCTTGTCATAAAGGAAGGCGACACACATTTGCGTGTTGTAACCTTACGACGTGCGTGTTAATGACACGCAATGCATATCAAAAAAGCCCTGTCAAGAAAGCTCATGTCATAAATGAAGATGACACACATTTTTGCGTATCATAATTTTAAATGTTTAAAAAAATATTATTTATAGATTTACTAATTTTCAAGTTAAATTTGTATTTAATGTCTCATAATAGAAAATGAAATATCATATACAAAAAATACAATCCGTTGCATAAAATTTAATGTCATATAAATAATCATATATAAAAAATACAATCCATTGCATAAAATACAATCGCTAACTATCTAACCTATTATTACATTGCTATTAAGGGACACCTTGTTTCAGATATCATGTAAAAAACAAATCCTTTATATCAAAAAATTGGTTGTTGTCCATCGAGTGTAGATGACAAATAATGACTTGAACATTAGCTGAAACCAAAAAACTTTTATTAACACAACCAAAAAGCTGAAATCAAAAAGCTTTTAATTACACAAGAAACAACACATCATCATGAGAAACTACTAACCTGCCCTGAATGGAGGAAGTAGTTTTCTCCAGCCAACTTTGTTGGTGTGGACTGATAAAAGTTATAGCATGTCCTAGCAAGCTGCAAATAATACATATCAAAATTATTAGCAACTAAAAAGCAACAAAAATAACACACATCTTCAGCTAGATTCAAGAACTTTCATTGATGTCTCCCACATGTCCCTGTTTTAATAACTCATTAGTTTGTTTTATATATACAGCTACAGTTGTAATTTTATCTAGAATTAAAATTACCAACTCACTTATAAAGGCTTCACAGTTGCAACTTTGTTTCCTTGTATCCACACTTTAAGTAAATACTCATAGAAACTGCACAAAGTCACGATGATATGACCTTTTGTCAAATCGCCATTCCCCAATCTTCCCATAAATTAACTCTCCCTGTAGCGTTGCAGTAAAAAGAAATTAGCTTATTTAAAGTGGACATGATTTTATCTAGTAAGGGAGTGTTTGGAATTTGCTTATTTAAAGTGTTAGCTCATTGCGGTTGGTACTGCTAATAAGTTACTTTGAGTGTTTAGATTGTACAAAATGGTTTATGCTTATTGTGGTTTAGGCTCTGTTTCATGTGTAAAAACTGACTTGTTTTTTTGAGCTTATTGCAACGTGGTGTTTTGTGACTAGTTTTTTGAAGAAAAAAAAGTATACTATAAATAAGTTACTCAGAACCTTCTCAAATAATGGAGTAATAGTGCAATTGGTATTCAAGCTAGAAGAAGATACAATTAAGAAAAAAAAAAACAAATTGTTTTTCTTTCACATATACTATAAATATAATAATGGAAGATGAGCAATGAGTATAAGAATATAAGGATACTCCCCAGATATTTGGAACAATTCTTCAGGGAACCTTTCTTTCAACCAAATTCAAACTTGTCAAACTTATAAAGGGCATTTTCTTTCAAGTTCTTCAGGAAACCCTGAAAGAAACCACACAACATCTTAGTTTATAGCAAGAAACAATGCCTTATGAAGTTGTTTGAAAACCTTGATCACCAATTCAACAAGCTCTGGTTGCTTCTGATACGGGTACGACTCCATAATTGGATAGGCTGTAATGAATCAAGATTTGTGGCTAATAATGAAAAGTAGGCCATACCATAGTAAGTGAAAGACGATAGATTTGATGCTGAGAGTATAAAATCAGAATTGTGATCACTACTAGAATAACACAAACTAGTAATAACACCCAAAACCATGCAATTGAATGTTGTTTCTGGATGAGAGCCTGAATAAACTCCATAACAACTCCACCAACGTGTAAGCACAGCTGGCAGGTTTGCATAGAAATATCCAGAACTAACACCACCAAGGATTTAAAATCAATATCTCTACAATTAATTGATTTAAAGACTATATACATACATACCAAAAGAAGTTGGAAAAATACAGTTACAGATGGAGTTCCATTAATTTTCTCCAATTGGAACGATATGTGAGAATCAACACTTAGCCCAATTTTGATTCCTAACATCAACAATAAAATATTTATTAAATAATGTTTATCATTATTTAACAAATAAATAAGGCCCACAACATGAACACATTTAAGAAATATATACTTACCTTTTAGATAAGCCAAAAGGATGTCCAGTTATATTCTCAGATGAGTCTTTTGTACTTGACTGCACATGAGTTTGGACTAAGTGATTATAAATTATTTAAAATAATAAATAGGGCGATAACAAAAATATATAATGTTATAAAATTTACCATGTGCTGTAAATCTTGAGATTGAGTTTAAGGTTGATTTTTGATCTTTTGTGTAGGACGATAAATACACATTTACATGTGAAAAATATTTGGTAATGCAACCAATAATGTGAGTGTAATGGCTTCGATCAAAATCACTGACATAAAAGTTGTACATTATGTAATGAAATAATTATCAGTTAAATAATTATCTATGGAATCAATCACAACAGAATGGAATCAACATAATGGAATAGATCATTACATTCCATTATCATGTTTGGTTGGCTAGAGGAAATGGAATGAATTTCATCACTTAAAAAAAGTGTTTACAGAAATAACTTAATAAGATACATAATAAAATCTTTAAATAAAACTACTATCTGAAAAATATTTTTACTTACTTTTAGAAAAATACCAAAAAATAATTTAATTGAAGTTTTGAAACTTTTTAAATATATTATTGTTATTGATGATTATATGGATGAAAGTAATTGATAATTATAACAAAATCATTCCATTTCATCAAAGAGTGAGTGAACACACAAAAAAAAAAAAAACACCCTTCCCCAATTGGACGAAGGAATCGGAATGGTCAATTCCATTCCCTGTTCGATTAGTAGCAAAAAGCAGCATAAAGATGTAACTTACAGTGAGCAACCATCAGATCGACATGCATCTTTCTTATCAAGTTAATGGTGGCCTCAGAGATAAGAGGCGCTGACATCATCTCTTCACAATCTTCTGGATAACATCCATACCACCCCATATCATTAACACTCACCGTAAGCACCCCACCTTCCTCACCCCCCTGTATTTTATTATTATTTGTACTTACAGACATTCAGTTAGATTCTACTGAGTTAAAACAATGTTATAATAAGACAAAAGTTGAAAGTACAATGGTATAATTGCGTAGATTTTTAAAGTAAAATGCATTATTTTGAAGTAGGGTGTTGCAATATAAAGGAATGAAAACAAGTAAATAAAAGTATGTTGCAATTTTTTTAAAAAAAATAGGAACTCACATGATAAAGGATTTGTTGGAGGAGAGTGTTGCAATCTTCAATTGTTCCCCGGAATCTAATGGCTTTTGCTTTGAGAGAAAAACGTCTTGAGATTTCAATAAATGTAAGAAAGGGTTGCCACTGATTGCTATTGCTATTATTTAACTTTAATTCAGTTGTGCTTGTAAGCTCAGCTGGCAGGTTTGCTGAGAAATACCCTGAACTAACTTCCACAGAAAACATCACACGGAAGTGACTCTTATTTCCTGCAATAAGAAAAAAATGGCTATAACCTGGTAGATTTATCAAAGTACAATCTCTAAATAAGAAAAAATAAATGAAAAGTGAAGTGTTAACCTATACAACATTCGGTTAATACAAGGTCTGGAAATGCAACGTCATCATATGGCTATAACCGGGTATATTTGTATTCTTAGCAAAATGCAACAACGCTGCTGTACATTCTTTAACCTATACAACATTCGGTTAATACAAGGTCTGGAAATGCCATGTCATCATATGTATAACAAAATGGATGTTTTTTGAGGTTAATGATATAGAAAAAGCTTTACTTGCTAGATACCTCCAGCACTTCCAGTTACTCCCATTAGCTGAACTGTTTGGATTGAATCTATGATTAGGGCACGTGGAGAGAGAGCTTGAGCTTTTTCCAAAATGTCCTTAAAATAGCACACACAAAGCAAAGTAAAACACTATTTATATTTATAATTTATAATTTATAATAAGTAATAACATATGTTCATAATTTATTAAGTTATGTATATTTTGGAACATTCACCTCAATGTCTGTACTTGAATACAAGAACAATTCTTCTGTGTCGATTTCCATACGATCTGCTCTGTTTCCAATTTGCTCAACACTCTGAATTAAAAGGGTCATTAATTGAAGCTATATAGCTTTTACTGTGTTATAACTTAGAAATGGAGTAACATTAATGGTGAAAGTAAGTTGTTACCTCTTCTCCAGAGACATAAAGCACAAGAGCTGGTTTACCGATTTCTCTCCCTTCTGCTATAATGGTTGCGATCTTTCATATTTCAGTATCAAGTAAACCAGAGTTATATACTTGATGAAGAAATCATTAACAGCAAGATACTATAATTTTATGCGAAAAGTAAAGATAATGATTTGTAATACCTGTAACATTAGCGTACTCTTCCCGACACCTGGATCACCACCAATCAAAATCAAAGAACCAGGTACCAGACCACCACCAAGAACCCTAGAAACTTTGTACCCAAATAGTCCAGGCCTGAATATAAACAACTCATATAATGCAACTAAAAAAACAAACAAAATGTTAAAAAAAATTAAACTTACCCCACAAATTGGGTTTTTTTATTGAAAGATAAAGATGATTCGAATGAAATTAAAAAAAAAATCGAAGAAATCCCAGTAATATGCAACTCAAAAAATTAAGAACCCTAACCTTAAACTCTTACCAAACGAGTTCAGGATGCCGGCGATGGGAAAGAAGAAAAGGACGATGGCAAGGAGAAAGAAGGTCTGATGTCGGCAAGGGTGGAGGAAGCAGTGGCGACGACGAGGAGGAGAAGGAAGACCGAACGCAACGACGGGAGGGGAGCCAGTGATGTCTTTGACCAGAGTATCTGAAGAGCTTGTATCTTCATTGCAAATAAAGTGATTAACAGGAAAAATTCCAGGAAACATGCGAAGATCGCGCAAGAACAAACTCGGTAATCAAGTAAAAACAAAAGAACTCACTAATTGGGAAAGAGATAAATCTTGAAGCTCTTACCATATGAAGATATAGAAAAGATGATTGAAGGAGGTCAATTTTGCAGAGTTATAAGATCACTTGTGGTAGGGAGGCAATGAATGGATGAAACAAGCCCTAACAAATCTAGAACCGAGCAACATGTGGTGATGATGGAGCATAGCCACAATTTGAGGTTCGAGAGTGGTGCTTCTAGACAAAGAACCACTGAGTGTAGATGCGTAAGTAAGAGAAGCCGATGACATTGCGTGAGGATGGTTTGGGCTCGAAACATAAAGCTTACATGGAAACCAGATCTTAGTGAAGACCAAAATATGCAAATAAATATTGTGTTCGTCGCCCCTTACGTATTTTGAACCAGGTGAGAGGGATGTGATGGAAATACGAGAGTGAGATAGAAAAAATTAGGGTCGGATTTAGGAACCCTAAATCATCGGCTCAAATTGATAACTGGGAGGTAAGAACCCTAAATCTTTAGCTCATTAGGGTCGAATTAAGAGTGTAAGAACTTGTTGGAACCGAGAAGTAGGTTTTTCGTGGAGGTGATGGATCGAGGAATTGAGGAAGCTGTGGATGAAGACGAAGGCCCAAATTCGAAGAGGCAGGGAATTTTTGGGATGAATAGGTGGTGGTTAATTTTTTAGATTTCATTTTCCCACCTAAAAACGCGTGTTTCCTAAAAAATATAAAGCAACACAGTTACACGACGCACATTTTTTGATAGGTGCCCTCTGTATTTTTTTCTGACACTAATTTTAGGGGCACACAAAAATGCGTGTTATCTATCCTCAAATTTTAGAAAACTAGCATTAATTTTAGGGTACGCACAAATGCGCATCCTCTATCAATGTGTGTCATTAATTGCACGTCCTAAAAGGCTATTTTTCTAGTAGTGGTATCGGCAGCCGTAGCAGCTTTCATGGCTCATCTGAATGCTAACAACACTAGTATTAGCAGGAGCCCTATCAAGATTTCTGATCCTAACAATAGACAACAGCAACCAACACCTGCGTAACCAGCCCCCCAAGAACCCCAACCAAAGCCACTGAAGAGAAAGTTCAAGAACGAGGAAGGAAGTACCTTTTCTCAAGGACCTTCCGAAGGACAATGAGCTGAGACAGTCAATACCCCTGCCAACCCTTCCATCCCGACACCTGGAAGACCATACCTAGGAAGCCTCCCCTACTGCAGCAAGTGTAACTACCATCATCATGGTACCTGTCGAGGACTCTTTTGCGTTACGTGCAACATGAAGGGGCATGTCGCCCGCTTCTGTAGAACCCCGATTGAGTTCATTACATGAACCACCAATGTGGCGACCAGTCCAGTAGGCCACCTATGTGGTGAGATTGGAAACTTCAAGAAGCACTATCCAACTGAAGCAAATGATAAGGCCACAGGAGGAGTATAACCCTAATGCATATGGAGAAGCATCAAGGAAGCCGGTAGAAATTTTGGTACGTCTCTCAATTCTAAGTAACTAACCGAAAACATGAAATAACTAATTTTGATTGTAATTACTTTCTCATTAAGGCGAAAGTCGCAGCACTGTTGTAAGATTAAAAATTTTCATCAGGTAAAGCTATAATGGCTCGATATATACGTTAAAGCCATGTATAATTAAGATGGATAGACCTCGAGTGAGTGATGCTGCCTTATTTCCTATTCCTCGTTTGGTTGTGGATTTAGGGCGGAGTCGCTCAGTCAACAGTCCTTCCTACCTTAATTATACATGACTAGTGTATAATTGGCGATTATAGAAAGGCCTCGTGAGAATCCATTCATGAAAACTAAATTATTCCGAAACCTCAGGACCCTCTATAGTTCCGCGTCAACTCTATCGGTCCAAGTATCCGCGACAATGATACACGGGACGAAAGCCGAGACGCCAAGAACTTGTGTGCCTGTTCAGCACATGGCCACATCGACCCTCATTCTATATCATGTCGATGTATGCCAACTTCGACGCCTTTATCAATCATGGTTCGACTTAGTGCAACCATGTGTAAGTTCCTAGTGATGTGTAAAAAGAACTTTCACCATAGCTATTTCGGCAAATAAAGGTTCTTCCGAACCTAATAATAAAACCTAATGTGATCCGTCAGTCGTCTCTCTTATCAAAAACCTTCCGAAGTACCTAGGAGAAGGGTACCGCGCGCTGTTAACCAACCCCTCCTTAGACAAATAGAACCCGAAGCGAAAGACACTGCAGGTATTTCGGAAGATGATAACCACCCGAAACCTACTCCGTAGATCCTCCAGAAAGACCCTTAGCACCTCACAATCATATTCGAGAATCAAGAAAAGATACTCATGGGATTAACTTGCTACTACTGAGTACATGCATTAGAGTGGTATATAATTTAGATCAATACGATTTAAGATGTGTGCTTCCTCCCTACTCCCTGTTCCTCATTGGGTTGTGGGTCTGAGGTGGGGCCACACAGCTGAACGTCCCGTCGATCTCAATTATATATGGCTTGCATACACCAAGTATTAGTGATTAAGCCAAGTATGAGCTCTACCACGAACCTTGTGATAAAATCATTCATCCCATCCCATAGAATAGGAGTTGGAGTCAAGAGAACCACAACGGGTTGAGCTACTAAAATGCCCACAAATTTGAAATTTGTTGTCATCCCGGTTAAGCCAACATAGTAGCTAACACCCTCGGTTAGGAAAAGAAACTCGAGTCGTAAGAGTCAAACATTGACTACGACCACCCCTCGACGCTTAATCCCACGGATTAAGTATCTTAATAGAAATCCCGAAAACCCAGAAGCTTCGATGGGTCGAAACTCTAAGAAGAAGTGGATGAGGAATAAAAAGTTCCCAGTAACGAAACCCTACACTCTCTAAATTTGATTTAGAGTGAGGGAACTCAGAAACACTGGAAGAGTAGTCGCAAGGCATACACACACTGCTCAGACACTTCGTCCACCCCATTACTGACAAGTAGTGCCTAGGACACTCCGCCTCCTCACGTGGAAGAAGTCACCGTCGCCCTGTAGAGGATAGACTGCATTCTCAGAAGTGAATACTAGAATGCCAAGAACCACAGGATAACCTCCACAGCTAAGAATACTTGAATAAAGTACGAAAGTAGGTTGCATTAAGCCTTATAACCTAGATCCCGAAGAGATTATAGACTCGACACCAGTCTAGGTGTTAGTCGATGGATTATACAAGAACACGCGCTTTCTGCAACTGAAATAAACCGAAACCTTAGAGAATAGGGCATGTATTAGAGATTCATTAGACTACTAGGTGTTCCAAGAATACTATCTCACACAGAAATAGTAGAACCACCTCCCGAGATAGTCCAACACTTCAGAAAATCTCTAAGGATTGAGTTATCCCTGAGTAGAGATTTCTATTCATGAAACAGCAAAGCAAGTAAGAGCATGATTCATTCCTATTAGGAATCATATTGTGAAAGCGTCAAATAGACGATGATGAGAAGTTTTAAAACTTTCTAAACAATCATCTAGTAAAACCCTATCTCACCGATCCTGAAAGTTTCCGTTAGAAACATCTCAAGAATCAGAAGTGCAGGTTCATTTTGCACTAGGTTGAGATAGATGCCATGCGGAAAATAGATACCCGTAGACATCCAATTCATCCAATGTGTGACAACCCGAAGTTGTTCCATCGCCGCAACCCGTTTCGTCCGTAAAACTCGTCTTAAGCGAATTATTCTAATTTCGTTTTTGGATTAGGTCAATTAAGTTGAGACTTCTATTTTGACCTTGTAAGTATCCAAACATGTTAGAAACGCATGAAAACATCCCAAACTAGTAATTAGAAAAAATTTAGTTTCAACCATATCGGGTGACAACAACTTAATCGGGTGCGACCAAAAGCCTCGGTTATCATCAGTATCGGGTAGAATTCCACCGTGTCCCAAATCCAAACCATATTTAAATTGGTTTAAGCCTCTTTTGAAGCCTTTTCACTCTCTCTCTAACCTCTCTCCTCAATCCAAGAATTTGGTCCAAAAATCACTCATTTCAAGCTTCAAATCACCAAGGTAACTATCCTAGCTTCTTGTATAACATGCTTAGCCTTCAATATCAAGTTCAAATCATGATTTAGGACCTCAAACATGTGGATACAGCCTTAGAACACTCTTGGGCCGTGAACACATATAAATGGTGTTTTTGAGCCTTAAAACCCTTCCAAATCACCATTGGAGCTTAGATATGGCTTAAGGACTTATTGGATTGGACTTAGAACACCTTAAACTCAAATTTTGGGGATTAAACATGAGTTTACTACCCAAGAACATGCTTGGGCCGTAAACACCCTTTCATGGGTAGTAAACTCCTTTTTGGGTGTTAAAATGCCACTTACACACCACATAAGCCTTGGAATAAAGTCTAGAAGCAACCACAAACAAGTTAGGGACCTTAAACTTGATGAAAAAACTCCATAAGAATTTCATGTCCGTAAACCCCCCAATAATGGGTTCCTGGGCTGTAAACTCCTATAAATGGGTTGTATGATGCCCTAAATTCACCCATTGGCTTGTAAAAATGAGTAGAATCACTTGTGATTAATCTGTGACCTTCAAAACACATAAGAAATGAGTGGGTGAGAGTTTATGGCCGTAAACTCATAGTTTACTGCTGTAAATTCATCAAATGGTCCTTATGATTGACTTAATCCCTTTCTAATGTCGTAGAACCAAACCTAGCATCATCCCTCAATTGATATAAGGCCATTTAGCACTTAAGAACACCATCCATGAGTTTACGGCCGTAAACTCATGGGGATGTGGTGTTTAGGGCCGAAAACTCTTCTAAGAGTTTACTCTTGAAGAGTAAACTCCATATCCGAGCCATACATGTCCATAAATGTCAACCAGGTCCTTCCAAACACTTGAAATGAAGTGTTTTCGCGACTAGAAGTGTATATCCTCAGTTAATTAGTG